CTGATTTAGGTTCAAGTTCAAAGATAAATTCCCACTCAGTTTGCAGGCTTACTAAAATGTCTAGCTGTTTGCTCTGAAACTTCAAGAGGAATATTAGAAGGATACATTCCTAAGAATCTAAAACAGGGTAAGGAAGAAAGTGGGGAGGCATGCCCACAAACTCTTCAGTTAAGTAAGGCCACAAACTCAAAAACACCAGGCAAAGCTGCAGGAAATGAATAGCAACTACAGTGGACCCTGGGATATGAATTCAGAGTTCAGTTGTTCCTATTAACAATGTGAACAGAGAAATAAAAGGCAAAATCCTAATCTACAAAGAATTTACAATACTTAGGTAGTAAGGGCCTAATAATGATTGCTCTTATTTGTGTCCATCAAGAAAACAGATACAGAGAAGTTAAGCTTATCAGCTCAAGGAATCAGGTAAGGATGTCCTGAGTCTTAAGTCTATGGATCCCTTGATTCTTTTAGATCTTGTTGTCCGGTCACACTAGGTATGTGCTGAGACAAAGAAGTGTTTTCTCTTTGAAAAACAATTTGAGGCTGGGCGTGAGGCTGAGGCAAGTGGATCACGAAGTCAGGAGATCAAGACCATTCTGTATAACAGGATGAAACCCCATCTCTACTAAAAACACAAAAAATTAGCCGGGCATGGTGGCATGCAACTGTAGTCCCAGCTACTCAGGAGGCTGAGGCAGGAGAATTGCCTCAACCCGGGAGATGGAGGTTGCAATGAGCCGTTACCACGCCAATGCACTCCAGCCTGGGCAACAGAGCCAGACTCCATCTCAAAAAACAAAAAAACTCAACCATTTGAAATCCCTCAAGTTTACCATAAGAAAGACTCCCTATAGAGACCAAGCCGTTTCCCAGCCCAGGACATATGATAAGAGATCCTTTATTCAGGACAGGTATTCCCTATGTACCTCTGCAACGATCCTGTGTGAGCTGCACATGTACCCCAGAACCTAAAGTACAATAGTAAAAAAAAAAAAAGCCAGGTATTCCCATATTAGGTAAAGCAGTCCAGCAACTTCCCAGGAAAACATAAAGCCTTAAGTTAGTTGAAATGTGAAACATCTGAAGTTTAACCCTCTAGCTTATAAATAGCTTTGCCTGTTCTGGTGAGCAAAGAGAATTACTCTTCATGAATGGAATCCTGATCTATTTTGGAGTACCAACTACATGTCTTTTATTTTAGCCCCAATCTTTTTTGTTTTTTTTGAGACAGGGTTTCACTCTATCACCCAGGATGGAGTGCAGTAGTATGATCACAGGTCACTGTAGCCTCAACCTTCCCAACTCAGCCTCCCCAGCAGCAGCAGGGCCTACAGGTATGCACCATCATACTCAGCTAATTTTTGTATTTTTTTAAACAGAGATGGGGTTTCGCCATGTTGCCCAGGTTGGTCTTGAACTCCTGGCCTCAAGCCTCCCAAAGTGCTGGAATTACAGGGGTGAGCCACCCCACCCAGCCTTAAATGTTTTTGTAGAGACTTAGTTTCACTCTGTTGCCCAGGCTAGTCTCAAACCTCAGGGCTCAAGCAATCCTCTCACCTTGGCCTCATGAAGTGTTAGGATTATAGGCATGAGCCACTATGCCTAGCCTTATTTTAGCTTCTTGGCTGCTATAAGAACTTTGTCAGTGTGACATGCAAAAAAATTGAAATCCATTTCTTTTCTCTCTAGAGACACTAAAGCTAAGGAACTAAAACATGTAGCCATTTAAAATGCTGCAATTGTGAAGTCCAACGTCTTACAAGCTCCTCTCATTTTGCCCCCAGTGGGACTGTGACAATTTAGCAGCAGCAGGACACATTTTAAGCCAAGATGTAAGGAAGGAAGGACTCCTTGCTGAACCTCATAAAAACAACCCAAGAGACCCATTACCTCCTGTATCCCTAAATGAACTGGTAGTAGGACTGTAACGAGAGAGGCAGGAACTTGGCCAAAGAACTCTAACCAAGCCAGATAGTAAAAGGGCATTTGTAATGGATGTTCCTATCACTGCCCTCTGCTATAAGGAATCCAGGAAACATGAAAAACATAAAACCACCTCCCTCCAAAGCTTCTAAATCTCTACCCTATTTTCAGCACTGGAAAATCATATATAAACAAGGCTTTTTCATACTAACAGAGCCTAATGTTTACTTTTATTTTTTTTCTCAAGGCAGAATTTTGCTCTTGTTGCTCAGGCTGGAGTACAATGGCACAATCTTGGCTCACTGCAGCCACCATCTCCTGGGTTCAGGCGATTCTCCTGCCTCAGCCTCCTGAGTAACTGGGATTACAGGTGTGCACCACTATGTCCGGCTAATTTTTACATTTTTAGCAGAGACGGGGTTTCACCATGTTGGTAAGACTGGTCTTGAACTCCTGACCTCAAGTGATCCACCTGCCCTGGCCTCCCAAAGTGCTGGGATTACAGGCGTGAGCCACTGTGCCAAGCCCCTAATGTTTATTCTTCTAAGGATGTCTAAGGATGTCTGATATGGAAAAAAGTTAAACTGATTTTGTTTATTTCATTTATTTTCCTTTTGATTTGTGCACAGAAGCGACATATAGTAAATGTTTAGGTCAAAAAGAGTGCTATATATGAGAAATATAAAAGTCTGATAAGAATGCATTTTTTTTTTAATTTTTCTTTTTTTGAGATGGAATTTTGCTTTTGTTGCCCAGGATGGAGTGCAATGATCTCCACTCAGGCGTGCACCACTACACCCAGCTAATTTTTGTATCTTTAGTAGAGATGGGGTTTCACCATATTAGTCAGGCTGGTCTCAAACGCCTGACCTCAGGTGATCCACTTACCTCGGCCTCCCAAAGTGCTGGGATTACAGGTGTGAGCCACCAGGCCCAGGCTTTTTTCCAATTAAAAAAAATTTTTTTTTCTCTATTTGAACTACAGGAACAATGCATGTGGTCATAGTTTAATTTACAGTTATATTTTCTTAGTGACAGATAAAATAATTTGCATTCTGCAATAAATGATGTGAGATGGAATCTCATTCTGTTACCCAGGTGGGAGTGCAATGGCGTGATCTCGGTTCACTGCAACCTCTACCTCCAGAGTTTAAGTGATTCTCTTGCCTCAGTCTCTGGTGTAACTGGAATTAAAGGAGCACACCACTACATCCGGCTAATTTTTGTATTCTTAGTAGAGACAGGGTTTCGCCATGTTGGCCACGCTAGTCTCAAACTCCTGACCTCAGGTGACCCACCGCCTCAGCCTCCCAAAGTGCTGGGATTACAGGCGTGAACTACTGTGCCTGGCCTAAAGACATCTTAAATTCCACGAAATAAGGTAGTTTACCTTACTTATTTTATTGTACTGCTACCAAATACTATGTTTTGTGTGATGTGGTCACATTATAGCATAACCTATTTTATATAATATGTCTTCAGGTTCATTTACTCCAATTTTATGACAGAATATCCTCTCAGGCTGTGATTGAAGAAATTTATTTGCTTTAGATAGGAGGCTTTGAAATGAAGTCCAAAATAGGGACACTCTGCATCAGAGATTTACAGTGAGGACGATGAGTTTTTAAAGTTACCTATGGCCAAGTCCCCATTTATAATATAAAGAACCACTGAACTCTTTCCAAATACAAGTAAATCTCTACAATTAATTTAGGCTCTGTCTTCGCTGGGCAGAGTTTTGTCTCCCATTTTGCAACTCTTTAATGATGTATAAGGGTTGATGATGCTTAACTTGAAATACCTAGAAAGAAGTAGGAACAACATGAAAACTCAAAATTAAGAACACAGACTAGACTCTGGTTTCCTGGCTTCTCTGATATCTCAGGGGCCTATTACACTTTGTCAGACCTCTCAGCTCCCAACAGATGGAGACATTGGCTGTGATAACAGCTTGATAACTATTCCTCAAGCTTGATAACTATTCACTGCACCTGAGTACCTCTTATATTTTTAACTTAATCAGATAGTAAAAACTTCAGAATACTGATTTCAGATCTCATGAACTAATTCTACACCACCACCTCAAATTAAGCAGCCTGAACACCTAATGGGCTTGGTATGAAAGATATAAAGTATGTGGGAAGGAGACTGAGAGCACTGTAGTCATCTTGAACAAAAGCAGATTAACCTGCAGCTGATGAGAAAAGGGCTCCAAACTTCTAGAACCTTTTTGTCAATTCTGTTTTAGGATTAGAACAAGTATGACTACCCACAACTCTGTTCCAACCCCACTTCCAATAATCTGGCCTAACTGTTGCCAGAATGTAGAGTGTTCTCGAAAACCACTCACTCAGCAGCTCCCTTGGCTAGTCCGACTGGCAATCTCGAGCCACTGCGGCTGCTTCGGAGTGCCAACAGCGCCCAAGCAGCTGCCCTCTTCCTTGCTGCTTAAGAAAGAACAGTGCTGGGAAGGATAAGGCAGGACAGGGGAAGAGGAGTCTCACGTGTAGAACACCAGATAATCCCCTCGCTCTTCCTTTTTTCTTCATCATCTTTGACTTCTGGGATAACCAGGGGGCAATCAGGTCAATTATGGAGACACACTCACCTCAAACCCTAGACTAGTGAACGCTGGGGTACAATTAGGGAAAACGGGGTGAGGAAAGCAAAGGTTTTGGAGATGGAAAGTGTAGACAGGCAACAATGCACAGAAGTTAACAAGAGAAGGCGGGGGTCGGGGGCGATGTAAGGAAGTCGTCATCGACGCCGCGCCGCCTCCCCCCACCTCGCATCAGACCTCTGAAATTGCCCTCGGAGACCCGGCCTCTCCTATAAGGACGATCGTCCTCTCAGCTGCTGAACTAGGCCATGTCTCAGGTCCTTCGCCAAGCGGAAGCTGGAGAGGAAGGCCGACCCCCTAGAGCGCCCCTTCAGGGGGTCCATCCGGCCTTGATCTCAGGTTGTGGGGGGTGTTTGCGGAGGGCGGGGCATCGCCTCAACAGCTGGGGGCTGCATCACGGCAGGAACTGGGTTTTCCTGAGACACGGAGCCCCTCTACTACCCTGGTACCCGGTTACCTCTTCGCCTCTTCGTCGTCCAGCAGCTCTGGCTCGGTCGCCGCCATTACCACATCGCACTCCGCGGCAGCCGCCATCTTACCGCCGGGACCAGAGAGTGGGGTGGGAGGCAGGCGGTGAAGAGCACTTCCGGTTGGAGCATAGAGCAGCTCAGCGGCGCTGCGCCCAGAAAGGCTCCCTCGAGCTAGTCTACCAGCGAGAGGCTCCGTTTGGGACCAGAGCGGCCTCCCGCCCCCGGAGGTCCACGGTGGTCTCCGCGCCCGGGCGGGAGCCCAGGGACTTTTCCTGTGCGTAGGCGGCGCCACTTTACCCGTGGGTGGGACGTGGGGTGTACAGGTGGTGGTAGCCTCTCTAAGGCTTGGCTGTTTTCAGTATTCCAAGAGCCTCGTTGCCATAGCAACTTCCAATCCTAGAGAGTCCCCTGAAAGGCTCCAGGGAGTCTGACTTGGGTGGGGACCAGGTGACCCAGGACTCTGGAGGGAAAGAGTCCCCACTGCTATCTTTCTGACCTTGGAGTACGTCCACGGCTTCTTCCCGGGAAAGGCAAGAGACACTTTGAGCCCAGTTCCCCTAGCTTTCATCGTTCTCTGAAAGCCCTGCCCAACCAAGCCAGGGTAACGCAGGGCGTCTTCACCCTGCGCCTTTCATCCACTTCGGATCGCCAAACACCAGCTGGTTCATCACCCTAATGACGCTGACCCTTTTACGAGGCTGCTTTCATGTCAGCCACCTGGGAGTGCCATCTCAGCATTAAACCTAGGAAAGCTGACACATGGCGCCCCAGACCCTGCCCTGGAGTTTATAAGGAAGCTCGCGGGGTGAGGTCCCCGCTTCTTGTGTCCCCAGTACTCCCACCTCTCATATAAACGTTCATCACACTCGTCTTGCCGAATGCGGTCTGGATTGAGAACTCATAGGGGACAAGAGCACAGTTTAATTAAACTTTGTTGTCATTCCCTCACCCAAACCTCTCTTTGTGGAGCTGAATTAAGTTGGAGCTTTCTGGGGTCGAAGTGGAGGAGTATGAGGAGTAGTTTTACAATGTAAAGCTAAGAGTAACTAAAATAAAAAGAAGGCAAAGGAATTTTAAAAGGATTTACCTGTTTTCCTCCAGGAAAACAGCATGTGCCAATGCACCTACCCTGCCTATCCCAGTGGGGAGGGAGCTGTGTCCTTGTACCCTATGAGTTCTCAATCCAGACCACAGCGACCACTGAGTAGGGAGGGATGGGACTAGCTCGCTAGGTTGGAAAGGAGGGGTCATTCGTCTAGCCAATCACTCAATATCCCTTTCCAAAATGCCTACTCTGCTAGGTTGGGAGGGCACAAGACTCACAGACCACCTGCCCTGCCTGCCAGTGGCTCAAAGTTCAGTCTAATGCTAGCCAACCTATCTTGCCATCTTCCAACTTTATGTTCTATCTAAGGCAACTCATTTATTCCCACAGCTTTAATTCCATCTGTTGATGTTCTCAACCCTTCATATCTCCAACCTGAACCTTTCTTCAGGTTCCATAGCTGTATATTCAACTATAAACTGGATATCTCTTGTATGTTTCACAAATCCCCAAGGCTTACCATATTTAAGTTGAACTTTTAATTCTCTACCCACACCTCAACAACAGAAAAAACAAATGCTGTATGTAATTATTAACTTTACTGAATTTTGTATCTTGTTAAATGGATTAAACTCACTCACCTGGCCACCATATGAGAAGGATGGAAGATCATGAACTCCTCCCTCTCACTCTTGGCGTCCAGTGTGTTGCCAAGTTTTGTTGATTCTCCTACCAAATATTTCCCAAATCTATCTCCACCTTTGCATCCTGATTCAGGCTCTCATCATTTTTTAAAATCTTGGAATAGGCTGGGTGTGGTGGCATGTGTAGTCCCAGCTACTTTGGAGGCTGAGGCAGGAGGATCACTTGAGCCCAGGAGTTTGAGACTGCAGTGAGCTACGATCACACCAATGTACTCCAACATGGAGAAAAGAGCCAGACCTTGTCTCAAAAAAAAAAAGAAAAAAAAAAAAAAAAAGCAACAACAGCAAAACAACAGCAAAAACAAAATAAAAAACTTGGAATACAGCAGTAGTCTCTTAATCGGTCCCTAGTTTCATCTCTGTCCAGTCTTCCCTCTTCTGCCAGAGTGATCTTCCTTAGGGACTGGTGATGTCACTTCATTGGCAGTGGCTTTCCATGACCATCAATTTGATCTCTTTGGCCTGCCACACAAGGCCTTTGATTATCTGTTTATTTTTTTAAATGACTTGAGTACCAATATTTAGGTCCTTCCTACCACCAATAATGAACCCAAGTCATCATAGTTCCAGAAAATTCCATGACTGTAGCCATGTTTCCTCCACCCTAGAATACCCTTTCCCCCAAGCCCTTCAATGTCCGCTGACCCAAAGTTAAATGCCCCTTTGCTGTGTCCCATAGCACCTTAGTAATTGTTGGGTAGACATTAGCTTCTCTAGACCGTGAGTTCTGATCGGCAGCCACCATGTCTAACTCGTCCACCTTCTCTCAGTATATGGCCCTGTACCTGGCACAGACAGAAGATGCTCAGAAAATATTTGACGAATAAGTGGTTGAGTAAACGAAGAGTAACTGTACTCTGATCGCCTTTAGAGAGAGAATATTTGGGTCTCAGAGACACCAGAACATCGGCCCACGTCCAGGCAGCCTAGAACCTTGGGCTCCAACGCGCACCCAGGCCAGGTCCTGGCTGTCATTCCCCCGCCGGTCTCTGGGGGAGCTGCGCGGTCCGCGCCCGCTCTTCGCTGCCGGAATTCGTCTTGCCTGACGGAAGCTGGGGGGGCGGGCAGGCGGCGGGGGCGGGGCCCGGCGGAGCCTACACCGGCCCGGGAGGAAGACTGGAGCCTTTGCGGCGGCGCTGTCCCTCGCCTGGTCCCCGCGCGCTCCGAGGGTCTGGCTGGTGCTGCGGGGACCCCAGGAGGTACGGAGCTGGGAGGCGAGGCTCGCGGGCGCTGGGATGGGCCTCCACCTCCGGGCCGCTTTTGCTGGCTTGTCTCTGCCTCTCATTCCCTCTGGGGGCTCCGCCGTGGGAAAATCTGTGGTGACGGTCCCTCTGGCCCAGTCTCATGGTGTCCTTTTTGTGGGGTCACTATATGGAGAGGGGGGTCTGTGTCAGGAGCTTCCCCTGGAGAGGTTTCTGTTTGGGACCGTCTTTGGGAGTGATCTATCTCTGCTCTCTGGGGGGATGTTTGGAGTTGTTGGGGGGGGCTTGTGTTTGGAAGTTTGCCTTCGGGGAGATATCTATCTGGGACCTCTTGGGGTTTCTGTGTCTGAGCTTTCTCTTCTGGGCCTATCCGTCCAAGAGCAGTAAAAAGTGTCTCCTTTCTGAAGCATTTTTTTTTCCTTAGATTTTTTTTCACTCTTGTCTGATGTTCATCTTTTAGTCTTAGACTTGATTATAGTTTAGAGGGAATTGATTGTTGTCCAGATGAGCCGTACAGGAAAGCAGATTATCTTTTTTTTTTTTTTTTTTTTTTTCTTTTGAGATGGAGTCTCACTCTGTCATCCAGGCTGGAATGCAGTGGTGCAATCTCGGCTCACTGCAACCTCTGCCTCCTGGGTTCAAGCAGTTCTCCTGCCTCAGCCTCTCAAGTAGCCAGGACTACAGGCGCCTGCCACCACGCCTTGCTAATTTTTTGTGTTTTTAGTAGAGATGAGATTTCACTATGTTGGCCAGGCTGGTCTCAAACTTGTGATACACCCTCCTCGGCCTCCCAAAGTGCTGGGATTACAGGTACAAGCCAGTGTGCCTGGCCCCAGATTATCCTTTTCATTTGCTCACTCTCCCCCCACCTTACCTCCCCGGAGCAGATGGCGTCAGACAGCCACACAAAATACTATTTCTGCTTATTTCTCCATGGGGTCATGGTTAAAGAGACGAAGCTGGGGCCGGGCACGGTGGCTCATGCCTGTAATTCAAGCACTTTGGAGGCCAAGGCGGGCGGATCACCTGAGGTGGGGAGTTCATGACCAGCCTGACCAACATGGTGAAACTCTGTCTTAAAAAAAAAAAAAAATAGAGAGGAAGCTGGGCTGAGCTCCCTTCACTAATTGGTCCTCTTTACATTCACATCTTGTGCACAGAAGGGAACCTGGCGAATGGCCGGTGACTCTCCTCTCCCTTTATGGCACCATTTCCAAGCACCTGCCCTGTGCCAGATACTGCCTGTGTAGGGGATAACAGAGACAAAATAACAGCTTGCCATCCAGTAGTGGACATAGAGACGTTGGTTTCTTCTGACTAGCATTGGGATGGTGCTGAAACCCTGAAACTACACCTTCAGTTTAGAATTTGGGCTCTCAGTTATGGAAGTTCTGCCTTCTGTTTTTTGTTTTTTTTTTTTTTTGAGACGGAGTTTCGCTCTTGTTACCCAGGCTGGAGTGCAATGGCGCGATCTCGGCTCACCGCAACCTCCGCCTCCTGGGTTCAGGCAATTCTCCTGCCTCAGCCTCCTGAGTAGCTGGGATTACAGGCACGCGCCACCATGCCCAGCTAATTTTTTGTAGTTTTAGTAGAGACGGGGTTTCACCATGTTGACCAGGATGGTCTCGAACTCTTGACCTCGTGATCCACCTGCCTCGGCCTCCCAAAGTGCTGGGATTACAGGCTTGAGCCACCGCGCCCGGCCCTCCTTCTGTTTGTTTTTGTCTACCAGAAAACATCAGCTAGTAACTGCCCTCTGGGTTGATGCTGTCTTTCCTTACCTCACCAATGTGCTTCTGTTCCTCAAGGTTGAAAGCTAAGCATGGGGAAGAGCTGCAAGGTGGTCGTGTGTGGCCAGGCGTCTGTGGGCAAAACTTCAATCCTAGAACAGCTGCTGTATGGGAACCATGTAGTGGGTGAGTGTTGTTGGAGGGGGAGGGACCGTGGAAGAAGTTGAAGAATAAGGAATAGTACTTGATCACAACACACACAGGCAAAAAGCTGCTCTGGTGGTTTTTGCACCTAGAAGAGTAAAACTTATATTGTAACCCCCAAAAGTAACTCTACAACACTGAGCAGATCTGGAGGGAAAAAACCCAACGTCTGAGATAGGAAGGAGAAGCTCTCATGCCACACTTGTGCTTAGTATGGAATTAGCATGAAATTAATGTCCGTTCTCCAGGCTGTCCATTCTCTGGCCTCCTCAGCACCCCCACGCTCCTTTCTTTCCCTGTCTGGTCAGTCTTAAGATGTTCTCATCACTCACATTTCCCATCTCCCTCTCCACTTCAGGCAGTTTTCTCATTTTATACCAGGTTCGGAGATGATCGAGACACAGGAGGACATCTACGTAGGTTCCATTGAGACAGACCGAGGGGTGCGAGAGCAGGTGCGTTTCTACGACACCCGGGGGCTCCGAGACGGGGCCGAACTGCCCCGACACTGCTTCTCCTGCACTGATGGCTACGTCCTGGTCTACAGCACAGATAGCAGAGAGTCCTTTCAGCGCGTAGAGCTGCTCAAGAAGGAGATTGACAAATCCAAGGACAAGAAGGAGGTGTGTGGCATAAGCTCCTGGTGGGAGCCTCAGTGGCGAGAGAGTGTGGGCGGTGGGTTGGTTTGGGAAGCCTGGCATGGCTCCATTCTTCACTCATTTGCCAGAAGGTGAGTTAGGAGCTAGAGGTGGGGTGGAGGCCACTGAGGGTATCTTCACCCTCAAGGGTGGCTCCATGTTGAATCTGCTCAACCAAAGAGGCCTCTGTGGCTTAAGGAGTCTCTGACCTCATGTATGAAGCCCCATTAGTTGTTCTTCCTGATGGTTCCATGCTTTTAGTTATGAAGGCACTTTTTTTTTTTTTTTTTTTTGAGACAGAGTCTCACTCTGCCACCCAGGTTGGAGTGCAGTGGCATGATCACAGCTCACTGCAACCTCAGCCTCCCAAGGCTTCAGTGGTCCTCCTGCCTCAGCCCCCAGAAGTAGCTAGGACTACAGGTGCACACCACCACACCTAGCCAATTTTTGTATTTTTAGTAGAGACGGGGTTTCGTCATGTTGCCCAGGCTGTTCTCAAACTCCTGGACTCAAGCAGTCCATTTGCCTCAGCTTCCCAAAGTGTTGGGATTACAGGAGTGAGCCACCCCACCTGGCCACAAAGGCCCTTCTGTTCTCTAAAATCCCCCTCTAAGCTGCAGGATTCTGGGAGTGTTTCCTCGCCAATTTTTGAGCCAGAAACTGACTGCTAGTAATGAGCATGTATGGCCAATACAGAGCTGGTGATAGAACTCCTAAAAGGAGAGCTAGATGGAGGCCAGAATTTGAACAGAGGAAAGAGAAGGAAAAGCAACCATCTCCTTCCGCTCAATGAGTGGTTTCGAGTGTAGAGATAAGACATCAGCCGTTGAGAATCCTCTCATAGAACTTCTAGGTGGTTGCCAGCCCCCATGTCCATTCCTGGGTCCATGGTACATTCACGGGCCTATGTTTTGTCCCTCCTCCCCAGGTCACCATCGTGGTCCTTGGCAACAAGTGTGACCTACAGGAGCAGCGGCGTGTAGACCCAGACGTGGCTCAGCATTGGGCCAAGTCAGAGAAGGTGAAGCTGTGGGAGGTGTCAGTGGCGGACCGGCGCTCCCTCCTGGAGCCTTTCGTCTACCTGGCCAGCAAGATGACCCAACCCCAGAGCAAGTCTGCCTTCCCCCTCAGCCGTAAGAACAAGGGCAGCGGCTCCTTGGATGGCTGAAGAGCTGCCATTCCTCCTTCACACTCTCAGCCCCATTTCAGCATCTGGGGCTCTGGTAGATGGGTTGAGAGCAAAGTGGAGGGCAAGCTGACCTCCCCAGTCAGCCAGGGAGCTCCCCACTAGGCCAGGCCCCAGCCACTTTGTTCCCCCTCACCTCTGGGAAGTACAAATACTCTTGATTGACATCCCTTCCCTCAGCCCTCCCAGCCTACTCCCCACCCCGGCTTTTATCAGATCTGCTCCACTGTCACCTGGGGCAGTTGTGGGTCACTGTCCCTTCCAACTGCCCCAGACAGGAAACAGAGTCACCACACAGCAGTGCCCCTTCTTGGGTCTGGTTCCTGTTATAGGGGTCCCACCCTCTGGGCTTCCTATCAGCAACACACAAACACTTATGGCACCAGCCTGGACTCCAGAGAAAGGGTGTCCAGGTATTGTGTGTATGCATTTAGTTGTGCACATGTGTGTATGTGTGTGCACACACGTGCTCCTACACTGGCATTAGGGGTGTCTCCTCATCCCTCACCCTCCCTTTCTCCTGTCCTTTTCTTGGCTGGAAGAAGCTAGACTCCTGGGAGTGTAGTTTTCTGTTTTAAATCCCCTATCCCTGCTGGGCTCAGTGGCTCATGCCTGTAATCCCAGAGCTTTGGGAGGCCGAGGCGGGTGGATCACTTGAGGTCAGGAATTCAAGACCAGCCTGGCCAACATTGTGAAACCCCGTCTCTGCCAAAAATACAAAAGTTAGCCGGGCATGGTGGCACATGCCTGTAATCCCAGCTACTCAGGAGGCTGAGGCAGGAGAATCGCTTGAACTCAGAAGGCAGAGGCTGCAGTGAGCTGAGATCATGCTACTGCACTCCATCCAGCCTGGGCAACAGAGCAAGACTCCGTCTCAAAAAAAAAAAAAAAAAAAAAAATTTCTCCACCCCCACCAATGGTTTCACTTCCTCTTCCTGCTCAGGGAGCAGATGGGCCTCATTAGTTAAGGTAGAATAGAATGATCACTGGGCTATGAGTGGCCAGCCAACTCTGTGACCCAGCAAAGACCTTCCCCTTCTCTGGGCGTCAGTTTTCTCATCTGTAAGATGACCAGAGTTGCTTAGATGATCACCTAGATCCTTTCCAGTTCTCTGATTTTGTAAAGCCAATGGCTTCTCCCTCTTCAAGGTGCTACGCCGACCAGCCCTGGAGGCTGGGATCCGCCGCTCCCTCCAGCCACCAGGGGGCAGGAGTGCACTACCTGCTGTCAATCGCCAGAGCAGCCGCTCCGTGCCCAGCCCACCAGCCTCACCCTTGGAGGCTGCTGTTCATCCTGCCTGTGGTTTTCAGCTCAGAGCTGGACTTCTATTTATAACTTACCTGTATTTATATTTATATGCCCGCTGCCATGGTGAAGGCTGGACAAGGTGCTCCTCTGGCCCCTCCTTCTTACCTCAGATGCCTGCATAGAACAAGGCAAACTGTAGCAGCCTCTCAGGAGCTGACAGGTCCTCTTTCGGGGCTCAGGTGGGTGGGCACACACCCAGCGGGCTGCAAAGTGAGCTTATTACCCACAACATCCTGTGCCTGCTTTGTGCGTCTAAGGTGCACACCTAGCTCAGGTGAGACACTGCAGCCAGGCAGTCACCCATACAAGCCCTTCTCAAAGCCAGGGGTGACTGGGGCAGGTACCCAGGGCTAGGTGAGTGGAATTAGGACATGCACAGGCTTGGGCTTCAAGTTCATTTATTGATGCATTCATTGGACACAATAAAACCACAATTGTTATCAAAAAGTTTCCCTCCCCACCTTTTTCTGGTTCTCCCACTGGAAATGTCTTTAAAAAAAAAAAAAAAAAGATACAGGGGGATACTGGCAAGGTCCCATGATGTGGGGTGGGGAGGGGGCAGTACTAGGGTGAAAGGGAGTTTGTGACATTGACATTGACGGCATGAAAATGCGTCTTGCAAGTGCATGTCAGAGTGTTTCCCAGCACTCAGCTTCACAGGGGCAGGGGCTGGATGGGAGAAGGGAAAGCTGAATTTCGTGCTGGGACCAGTTTGGAGTGGGAAGCTGTAGGGGAAAACTCTTCCTTTGGGAGCCCTGGGGGGATTCAATGTTAGCTGAGTCCACAGTCTGAGGGAGACCCACACCTGCCCTCCAAGAGCTGGGGTTCATGAAGTCAGAGAAAGGCTACGAAGGGAGAGCCTCCGAGGGATGAATTACTCCCTAAGTTTTAAGACTGGGCCTATCCATGAGTATCACTTGAACCCAGGAGGCAGAGGCTGCAGTGAGCCAGATAGCACCACTGCACTCTAGCCTGGGTGACAGAATGAAACTAAAAAAACAAAGACTGGGCCCATCAATGCCCAGAAGACTAAGATTGAAACAAAGAAGACACCTGGGCCCAACCAGAACAACACCTCCTCTCCTAGTCCCATTCCTTCAGAGCAGATGAAGCCCCCAAAGCCTTCAGAATCAACCCCACTACATCCTTGGCTCTGCCCCACCTTAGCACTGCTGATCGAGGGACTTCTGGGTCCCCCTTTCTCCTCCATGGTCCTCTGCCACACCTCCACAGTCACCTTTCCTGATTGCCTTGAGCCTGCTCCAGCTAGAGACCCCATCCCTATCTCCAGTGAAGCCTCTAGGAATAGAGGTCAGAGACTTGTCCCTCAGCTAGGAGAGGACGGCTTGTAGAAGCTAAGATTCCTGGAGTCTGGCCATGTGGGTCTTGGTGTAGATCTTGGGTGGAGGAAAAAGAGCACCGCGTGGCTGGGGCTGAGATTTGCATAGATCTTTGGGATCTGTCAGGGTGGGAGATGCAGGGAAGCCTAGAAGGCCTGGGAAAGGAGGGTGGGGACAGTCCTTGGAAGGGCAGCTGTCCTTAAAACTAGTCCAGCTCTTCCTGGAGTAGGCAGGACCGTTGAAGCTGTTCACAGTCCCTGTGGCATGTAGGAAACCAAGGTGTCTTGGGACAGGAGGAGACAAGGAGTGGCTACTGGGAAATCAGCCCTGGCCTCCCCATGAGGGCTAATAAGGGGCAAGCACAATAGGTCCTGTGGCAGGGCGGACGGCTCCTGCTGGGGTGCGAAACAGAGCTGGGCCCAGGATCGGAGCCGGGAAGAGGGCAGTGGCTGCTGTAGGGGCAGGGCGGAGGGCCAGGGGTCCTGGCAGGGCGCAGATGGCAGTGGCTGCGGTGGGGAGCGGGCTGGGCAGAAAGCGGGCTGCCAGCGTCTTGGTGAGTTGCTTCTGCAAGGCCAGTTTAGACTACACAGAAAAGAAAGGAAAGGACAGTCTCCACCGCAGAAACCCCACCCCGCCCCGGGCCCCATCCTCAAGCTTTTTGCTGCAGAGAAAACGTGCCTTTTAGAGTTCCAAACCTAAATCCTCCTCCCTTCCCACCCCCAAACATTCATTCCAAAGGGCTGTCTCCACCACCTGTCTTCCTGTCTAGAGGGAGGAAAGTCTCACGATGGAAGAAGGGAGGATTTATAGGATAAAGATGGTCTCTGGGGGATGCACGCTCACCCCTAGCTCTTGCCCCTAAGATGAACTACCCCAGCCCACCTCCCCGGAAATTCCTCTGGGTAGATCCCAGTTCCCAGCCCCAGCTCCCTCCTGGCCCAGCAGCCTCAGTGCAGGGGGGCCTCTTTCCTGCCCCACCACAACCCCCTCTGGCCCTCCCAGCCCACTCTCTCCCCATCTCCCCTCCAGACCCAGTCCCAGCTCCGTTGCCTGGAGACAGATACCTTGAGGATACTCACAGCCAGCGCTGCGTGCTTCTGCAGCTTGCTGTGCTGGCTGGAGGGCTTGGGGGGCTTCCCGGCCAGGCGGTCTTTGTGCCTCCTGCTGCTCATGTGCTAATGGACAGACAGATTGGGAACAAGATGTCAAAGCCCGAGGACCCCAAGACCATCATCCTCAACCCTCTCCCCATTCCTCTACCCACAGTTCAAACATCCAAAGCAGACAGACTGGGTCCTCACCCTGGGGTAAGCCCTGGGAAGGGGAGGTGAGTCTTGGCCCTTGCTCTCAACTGGCCCACTGGCCTGCTGGCCTCGCTCCTCCAGCCCGCCCTGCTCTGCCCTGCCTGCCCTCTTTCTTCAGGATCCCTCCCTCTCCTGCCCTGTTCCCCAACCCCTTCCCCTGGCTCCAACCCCAGTCCCAGCCTCACTTCTCCCACCTGCTTGAGTTGGGTCTCTGAATTGACCTGGAGCTGACAGAGGGCACAGTGGAAAGCGGGGCTGGGCCCCTGCCGGCCCCCCCGGCCCCCTGTCGCTCTCTTGGCCTTGTGTCCGGTGCCTCCCCTGGACATCGGGCGGCCCCGGCCCCTCCGGGGAGCCCCTCGCTGACCTTCCACCATCCACCGGTGCTTGGCTCCTGGAGGGGGAAGAAGCAGTGTCTCAGCAGCAGAAAGGGGTTACAGGGGCCATGGAGACCCCCTCCACACTCACTCAGTTTAGCGCTCCCTGTAAGGCTCAGGGCTGCTCTGTGCACACATCGCCCTCTAGCCACACGTGGTTTCTCCTCCCAGCCTGCCCTTGCATGCCAGCCCCTCCCATGGAAGGCCTTCCTGGCTATAACTGGCTGGCTTCCCCTTTGCTTTGATCTCAGCCTCCTCCTTCTAGGTGTGATCTAAGGATAGGGAGAGATGTCTCCTGTCTCCTGTGGAGTGACTCTTCAGAGATTTAGCGACTTTTACTCAGTTCTTGCTGCCTCACACTTTCCTTCCCAATTCGCCCCCCCCAGGGAGTCATGGGAGGACCCGGAAATGCCTGCCCAATAACAAGCGAGCACAACGCCTCTGACACCCAACCCTTGAGCGAAGCACCCAGGAACTCAAGCCTGCCCACATCTGGTGAGGCTCAGCTTCTGCCCCACCCTTTCCCCCGGGCTCCAGCTCCTAGGGACCACTGACCTGTGTTGTGAGCCTGAAGCTGGGAGGCCGAGTTCACCGTCACCTTACACGTGGGGCAGTAGAGGCGCCCCTTCTCGCTCCTGCCTTCCCCACTCACGCTGCTTCCCACGGCAGCTGCTGCTGGCTCAGGCCCCGGTGCCTCTCTCCCAGGCTCTGGGGAGCAAGGAGGGCAGGAGGAAGAAGAGGAAGAGGAGGCAGCATCCAAGAGGTCTGGGTGGGCTGGTTCCCTGGATGTAGGGTCCAGAGTCGGTGCTGGCTGGAGTGGAGGCGGGACTGCAGGAACTGCTGCGGAGATGATGGAAGGTGCGGGGCAGAGTATGAGGCTCAAGATGGCGCTGGAGACCATGGAGGTGGCCTGGAGGGTCCCTGGTGGATGACCAGCACTGAATTCCAGGTGCGGGGCAGAGTATGAGGCTCAAGATGGCGCTGGAGACCATGGAGGTGGCCTGGAGGGTCACTGGTGGATGACCAGCACTTAATTCCAGGCCGCACGTTTCTTTCCCTTTCTTTCTTTTTTTTTTTTTTTTTTTTTGAGATAGAGTCTCGCTGTGTTGCACAGGCTGGAGTGCAAAGGCGCAATCTCGGCTCACTGCAACTTCCGCCTCTCAGGTTCAAGTAATTCTCCTGCCTCAGCCTTCTGAGTAGCTGAGATTACAGGTGAGTGCCACCATGCCCAGCTAATTTTTGTATTTTTAGTAGAGACAGGGTTTCACCATGTTGGACAGGCTGGTCTCCAACTCCTGACCTCGTGATCCACCTGCCTTGGCCTCCAAAGCGTTGGTATTACAGACGTGAGCCACTGCACCCAGCCCAGGCCCCACTTTTCTACCAACTCACTGGGCAGACTTGGGCCTCAGTTTCCCCATCTGAAATCGTAAAGTTGGACACAGTGGTCTCCAAAAGCCCTCACAGCCCTCATAGTCTTATTTGCTTACTTAAATAAGCAGAGATCACCAAAAACAATGTACTAGAATGTTCATAGAACACTATTCATAATAGCATATAACTGAAACTACCCACATGTCCACCAACAGAAGAGCAGATTTTTAAAAAATAGTGGCATAAGCTGGATGCAGTGGCTCACGCCTATAATTCCAACACTTGGGAGCCATGGCGGGCAGATCACAAGATCAGGAGTTTGAGACCAGCCTGGCCAACATGGTGAAACCCCATCTCTACTAAAAATACAAAAATTAGCCAGGCATGGTGGTGGGCTCCTGTAGTCCCAGCTACTCGGGAGGCTGAGGCAGGAGAATCGCTTGAACCTGGGAGGCAGAGGCTGCAGTGAACCAAGATCATGCCACTGCACTCCAGTCTGGGTGACAGAGCGAGACTCCATCTCAAAACAAAACAAAACAGATACAAAACCCTACCTACTCTATGATTCACCAAAAATAGGTAAAATTGATCTATGCTAAGAAAACTCAGGATCATAATTACCATCAGAGGGGCTGTAATTTGTTGAATAGCTCTCCCCCAAAATTCATGTCTATCTGGAACCTCAGAATGTGACCTTATTTGGAAACAGGGTCTTGGCAGATAAAATTAGTTAAGATGAGGTCACGCTGGGTTTGGGTGGGACTAATCTAGTGACTGGTACCCTTACAAGAAGAGCTTGTGAAGACACAGAGACGCACAAGGGAGAATGTGGTGTGGAGATGGAGGCGGAGATTGGAGTGATGTGTCTACCCACCAAGGAGAGCCAAGGAGTGCCCACAACACCAGAGGCCAGAAGAGACGCACGGGACACCTTCTCCCTCTGAGCCCCAAGAGGAAACCAACCCTGCCAGTGCCTTGGCTTCAGACTTCTGGCCTCCAGAGCTGTGGGAAATACATTTCCGTTGTTTTCAGCCACCCAGGTTGTAGTCTTTTTTTTTTTTTTTAGGTTAGAGACAAGGTTTTGCTCTGTCACCTAAGCTAGAGTGCAGTGGCATGACCATAGCCCACTGCAGCCCTGACCTCCTGGACTTAAGTGGGTCCTTCTGCTTCAGCCTCCTGAGTAGCTGGGACTGCGGGTGTGCATCATCACACCTGGCTAATAAATTTTTTGTAGAGACAGGGTCACACTGTGTTGCCCAGACTGGTTTCAAACTCCAGGCCTCAAGCAATCCTCCCACCTCAGCCTCCCAAAGTGTTAACCATCACACAGTGTGACCACTGTGCCTAACTTCACAAATGTAGTCATTTGTGAAAGCAGCCCTTGGAAATGAATACTTCAAGGTAGTGACCAGGAGCAGGTACAAGACAAGTTTCTGGGGTGCTGGTAACATGTTTCCTGATCTGAGTGTGTTCAGCTTGGGAAAATGCATTGAGTGGTTCACCTGTGTGCCTTTGACTGTCTGTGTGCAATACTCCAACACAAGCACAACTAATAAGCAGAAATCTCTCCACCTCCTGTAGGAAACCAGATTGGGAGTGGGGATGAGGGGAAGAGAAGAGCTCAGGACTGACCTTTACTCTGTGGCTCTCCAGGGGCTCCACTGGCCAGCGTTGGGACTGGGGACACCACAGCCCCATCCTGGGCTTGGGTGTGTGGCCTCTGCTTGCTCTTGGCAGCCTCGACAGCCTTGAGTTTTCTGGCGTGTTTGTGGCCTTTATAATGTGCCTCAGCCTGGTTCTGGGGAGGGGAGGGCAAGAGGTCACCATTCATTGGCTGAGTCCACATGCTGCATCCATGAATTAGAGCCCAGCAGGGGAACAGGTCAAAGGGAGGCAGGGCTCGTCTCACTGCAACCTCTGCCTCCCAGGTTCAAGGGATTCTCCTGCCTCAGCCTCCTGAGTAGCTGGGATTACAGGCGCACACAAAGGGCAAGCCCTTGTTTGTCATTATCACCGTACCACGTGTGGCTCTGAGGTTTATAGAATGCGTTCTCACACATGAGCTCCAAGGCAGGCAGCCTCTGACTTTGGACCTGACTCAGCCACTTACTACATCTTTAGGCAAGTCCCATCACCTGTCTGAGCCTGAGTCTCCTCACCCACAAACTCTGTGATGATAATACTGATCTCATGGGGCTGTCAGAATTACATGGGAACATGAATTACAAGGGCCGAGTCCGAAGAGTAGATGCTCAGTGAAATGTTAGTTGTCAAGTGTAAAAATGCACAAATGGGGCCGGGCGTGGTGGCTCATGCCTGTAATCCAAGCACTTTGAAGGCCAAGGCAGGCGGATCACCTGAGGTCGGGAGTACAAGACCAGCCTGACCAACATGGTGAAACCCTGTCTTTAAAAAATAAATAAATAAATGCACTAATGGAGAAAGCAGAGCAGTCCTCACGCTTTGGGGCAAATGCTCCCCAGGACATTCATCCCTTTGTTCATTTGTTCAACAAATCACTACTGAGCATTTGCTATTTGCCAGGCACTGTGCCCGGAGTCTGGCAGGAAGAAGCCATGGTTCCTCCCTCAGAACAAATTCTCTCCTCCATCTATTTTTTTTTTTTTTGAGACAGTCTCAATTTGTCACCCAGGCTGGAGGGCAGTGATACAATCTCGGCTCACTGCAACCTCCGCCTCCCAGGTTTAAGCCATTTTCTGTCTCAGCCTCCTGAGTAGCTGGGATTACAGGCACCTGCCACCACACCTGACTGATTTCCTTTTTGTATTGGGGTTTCACTACGTTGTCCAGGCTGGTCTCAAACTCCTGACCTCAAGTGATCTGCCCACCTCGGCCTCCCAAAGTGCTGGGATTACAGGCGTAAGCCATCTCACCTGGCCTCTCCTCCATCTCTCGCAGGACTCATGGAACCAGAAGGTCCGAAGGGAAATCCCAAATCTGATCTGTCAGTGACCTCCCTCCAAGGGTCCTCACTTGCTTCTCCCTGGCCCACCTTGAAACGTAGGAAAGACAGGCCCCCATGGTCCCTCCCTGGATGCCACACTACAGCAGTGCTGCTGACATCTAGCTGAAACTCCAGATTGCCTGACAGGAGGCAGACCTTCCCTGGGAGGCCAGAATGAGGTTCCTCCTCTACCTTGGGGTAGGATGTAGTAGGAAGTCATAGGCCTTGGGGTCAGCCAGGCCTGGGTTCAAATCCCAGCTTTGCTACTCATCAGTTATGTGGTCTTAGGCAAGGCACTTAACCTCCCTAAGGCTCAGTTTCCTCATCTGAAAATCATAGATTATATTAGCGCCTCTAGGACAGGCATGGTGGCTCAAATCTGTAATCTCAGCATTTTGGGAGGCTGAGGCGGGTGGATCACTTGAACCCAAGAGTTTGAGACCAGTCTGAGCAACACAGTAAAACCTGGTCTCTGCCAAGAAAACAAAAACAAACAAACAAAAACACTAGCCAGGTGTGGTAGCACACACCTGTAATCCCAGCTACTCAGGAGGCTGAGACACAAGAATCGCTTGAACCTGGGAGGTGGAGGTTGCAGTGAGCCAAGAACGCACCACTGCCTTCCCACCTGGGTGACAGAGTGAGACTTTGTCCAAAAAAAAAAAAAAAAGAAAAGAAACTGCCTCTACCTATCTCACAGATGTATCATGAGAGCTATTATTTCAGGTAATGGGCATGATCCTCTCAGGTGCCTTAGGAACTGATGGGGTGGCCCCTGGAACCCAGAGTGGAGGAAGGGTAGTCTTCTCTCTTGCAGAAGAATCCAGAACACAGGAGAGGGGCCTGGGGGAAGAAAATGGAATCCTACCGGGCTACAGCTGGGCAGAAGGGGAAGGGGCAGAAGAATCTGGAGGGAGGACAGATTCGATGGTTAAAGGACCAAGAGTGCCTCTCCTGCAGCCAGGGATGGGAAATACAGCCCACGGCCCCTTCGCCACTGGTATTCCTCCCGGAAAGACCCTGGCAGCCCAGCCTCCAGCCCTCTCCCTGCCCAGCCCCCTCCCCAGACCTGCTTTTGCTACTTCTCACCGCTGAGTTGAACCTCAGGTGACAGATGTTACAGGAAATGAAGAGCTTCTTCTTCAGAGGGGAGGGGACCCCAAACGTGTGGCTGATGACAGCTTTCTGGACAGGGTCCATCTGTGAAGGGAGTAGGAGGGCATAACTCTGGGGTTGGCTTGGGAAGCAGGGTTCGGGGGCAGCACAAAATGCCCAAAACTAAAGACTACTCAAGAGGGCTGTGGTCAGCTTCGAGGAAAAACTTTTCTGTCCTGTGGATGTTAGAAAAAGAAACAGCTGACTGGGTGCGATGGCTCACGCCTGTAATCCCAGCACTTTGGGAGGCTGAGGTGGGTGAATCATCTGAGGTCAGCAGTTCCAGACCAGCCTGGCCGACATGAGGAAACCCCATCTCTATTAAAAATACAAAATTAGCCGGGCGTGGTGGCTCATGCCTGTAGCGTCAGCTACTCATGAGGCTGAGGCAAGAGAATTGCTTGAACCTGGGAAGCGGAGGCTGCAGTGAGCTGAGATCACACCACTGCACTCCAGCCTAGCAACAGAGTGAGAGTCTGCTGAAGAGAGGAAAGGGAAGGGAAGGGATGGAAAGGGAAGGGAAGGGGAGAGGGGGGGAGGGAAAAAGGAAAGGAAAGAAAAGGAAAAAGAAAAAGAAACTGCCTATTCCCAGCTGTCTTTATTTGTCAGCCTGGGCTTCTGCTTGGAGGCAGGGGAATGGCCAGAGTGCGCTGCATGATTCTGGAGCACAGAACCATGTCCTGGTGATCACCTGGGCATCTCTTCCTGCTCCTTAGGTCATTATTTTTGTTCTTTTCTCCTTTGCAAGAATTACAACTATTGGGATAGAAAGTTGGAAACAAGGAGAGGCAGGGAAGATAAAGAATCCCTCTGTTGGATTTCCTCTCCCGTCACCCGGGCTTCATGCCTGGACCTGTGGGCTGGGGGAAGATAAGTCCTATTTCATTAGCTCTGCCACTGGCACAGGGCCTGAGGCCGCTGATGACTTTTTTTTTTTTTTTTCCTGAGATGGAGTATTGCTCTGTTGTGGTGCCATGATCTCAGCTCACTGCAACCTCCACCTCTCTGGTTCAAGTGATTCTCCTGCCTCAGCCTGTGGAGTAGCTGAGATTACAGGCACCCAGCAGTATGTCTGGCTAATTTTTGTATTTTTAGTAGAGATGGGACTTCACCATGTTGGCCAGGCTGGTCTCGAAGTCCTAGCGTCAATGTGATCTGCCTGCCTTGGCCTCCCAATGTGCTAGAATTACAGGTGTGAGCCACCATGCCCAGCCGTGACAACCTCTCTTGAGAGTGAGAGCCACAGCCAGGGGAGGTGGGGGGCTTAGTGAGGGGCAGCGAGCAGCAAGTGCGGGCCTAAGGTTTCCTGAGGAGTGGGATCATTTATTTGGAATATTAATTTGGATTTTTTTTTCTTTTCCTTATTTTAAGTCATTTTTTCTTCTATAGAATTAAGGCTTTATGTTCCCTTTTCTCAGGAGGTTGGGCCAAAGGCAATTGTTTGAACTTGTCAAGAACTTTCCAGGCCAGGCGCGGTGGCTCATCCTGTAATCCCAGCACTTTGAGAGGCCGAGGTGGGAGAATCCCTTGAACTCAGGAGTTTCAGACCAGTCTGGGCAATATAGTGAGACCTCATCTCTGTTTCTATAAAAATAAAATAAAATAAGAACTTTCCAAACCTTACCAAGAAAAGAAAACAGAGCTTAGAGAGAAGCACATGGGTGCAGAAACTTCCCTGAGAACAGAAAGAGGTTCAAATTCTCACAGCACCCAAGGTCAGCAAAGGACTCAGGGGACAGGACCTCAGAGGAGAATGGCCAGCGGGGGCCCCTGCAATTGGAACCATGCCTTTCAACACTAAGCCTGTCAGCAAGCAACAGCAGGGACTCAAGACCAGAGGACCACCCCCAAAATGCCTCAGATGCCTTAGGACTTCTGTCTAACTCTGGAGGGTGGGAGGGAAGGGATTCCCAAGAGTGACTGAGATGGAGTTTGCCACCATCTGCTCAGGATGGGGCATGCCACACCCATGATTTCATTTGATTTTTCAAAATTAAAAAAAAAAGGGAGATGGTTCCTGATCTCTCATATAGCAAAGTAAAATTCATACTATACTTGTTATGCACACACATGCACAAGGAAATGTACAGACCACGACACACACACAGAGCACAAAAGCTTCAGGTGGTTACCCGTGCAGACAAGCAAAACAATTCACACTCATGCACACAAAAGGTACGTGACCACAGACAAACTCACAATCACCCAAACCACACAGAAACACACGTGCTTAGAGGGCAGATGCACACCACACACTTAAAAGACACAAGGACACAATAAATCCTGATGTACAGGCACACACCTTAATTACATACAATTATACACGCACAAAGAGTTGTTTACAAACACACACTGGACACCAAGACACAAACTCATATGCACATATAACATACGAAAATCTATAGAGAAACAAACTACAACAGAAAGGCACAGGTCGGTCACACACACACACACACACACACACACACACACACACACACAGAGAAGCTTGAGTGCAACGTACAGGCTAGAGGCCCTTGCAGGCCCAGCGGCTGTGATGGTGGGGTGGGGAGAAGGCTGACACCATCTTGTTCCCCAGTCTAAGAGAGAGTGAGGCCTTCTCCTAGGGTCCCAAATAGGGGTCCCTGTTTGGGGAGCACCTATCCCCTCAGGGGGATGTTGAAGAACAAGCTCCTGGTTAGACCCAGCTGCTGAGAGCCCCTCTGAGCCCACCTTCCGTGCCCACCCACCAGCTTGGCAGCATGCCCCCACCCGCCAGCCCAGCCCATACCGTGCTGAAGTTGGGGAAGAGACTGAGCGGGGCGGCACCATTGAAGTGGAAGGCGAGCAAGTGCTTGAAGTCCAGCGGGGGCTGCAGAGGCCGGGTGGGCAGGGGCAGGGAGGCCAGCAAGGGGCTGGGGGCGCTGGAGGCCGGGCCTGCTGCAGGAGGAAGAAGGGCAGGGTCTGAAATGGGCTCTCTCCTATCTCTGTAGCCAGAACAAGAGGCGGATGGGCTTCTTAGTATGGAGCCAGGCAGAAACTTGTGTCTCTCTTCCCAGAGTGGCACCAGCCAGAGCCAGGGTGATTACAGCCCCATTCTCTGTGCCCTTCCTCCCCACAGCTGAGGAAGGAGAGGCAGGGAGTCCACAGTTCAAGGCTCCCAGCCCAGAGAGATGACCCTCCCACCCCTACTTGGCAGCACACTGAACCCCAAGGCAGCCCAGCCAATAGAGAGACAGAGGGGTCTGAGCAGGCCCCTGATACACACACACCACCATGAGGACTGCATGATGCACTGGGTTTCCACTTTACCACAAATTAAACTCAAACCCAGGGGTACTGGAAAAAGGACAGCCCTCTCCCTTCTCACTCTCTAACTATCCTTCCTCCCATCAGATCCCCAGGACTTTCACAGCCAGGGCTGACAGGAGGGAACGGGAACCCGTGGCTCTGAAGGGATGTGTCCCCAGCTCTGATGAGGTCTATACTGCTTTCCCCAGGAGGAAATAAGCCAGCATCCCTGGGTTGGGCCTCAAGGCCAGTCTCAGAGGCGGCAGGTACAGCACTGTGGTTTTGCACTCTTTGGTCTTAAAGGTCTAAGGCAAGGGCAGGGGAGGGGTAGGAACTTGGAGAGCAACCAGACTTTGAGGAAGAAAAAATTAGGAAAAAAGAAAAAGTCCAGCCCATCTGGGGCTTTTGTGAACCCTGTCGTTGCAAAACCAAAAGTAGTCCTTTGAGATGTTTGTGTAGTAACACTATGAAAGATAACATAGATTTATTTCACATTTGTCGGTTTTTATGTCCATACACACAGTTACACACAAAAAAAGGTCGGAGGCAGCCTATTGGTGAGGAGGGGAGGAAGGGAACCGCTATTCCCCGGAACCATTGTGCCCCTGACCCACCAGCTGTGTACAGAGAGGACGCTGTGCTGTGTGACAGAAACAAGTGCAGTCATCTACTCCCCAGTCATAGATGAAGAGACATTGCCGGGAGTGGGGCTAAGAAACAGCCAAGGACAGGCCGGACGTGATGGCTCATGCCTGTAATCCCAGCACTTTGGGAGGCAGAGGCAGGCGGATCATGAGGTCAGGAGTTTAAGATCAGCCTGGCCACCATAGTGAAACCCCGTCTCTACTAAAAATACAAAAAGTTAGCTACGCATGGTGGTGGGTGCCTGCAGTCCCAGCCACTAGGGAGGCTGAGTCAGGAGAATCGCTTGAACCCAGGAGGCAGAGGTTGCAGTGAGCTGAGATGGCACCATTACACTCCAGCCTGAGGGACAGAGCGAGACTCTGTTTAAAAAAAAAAAAAAAAAAAAACCAAAAAACAAACAAACGACGAAGGACCAGTGGTGTCCTTTCAGCCACTCAATTCCCAAGACCCAATCTTCCTCCCGAAAGCCAAGAACTTCTATTATGGGGTGGGGGGAGCAAACTTGGGGCAAGTCCAGAAGGGAAAAGGGTGAGCTACTCCTCATCTAACTGTGCAAAGGCCAGGAATTATTTCAGGTGCCCCAGATCCTAGCATCTCTGCCCACCCACCCAGGTCCCTCTTCATTCACCCAGTCCCTTCCTCCACAGCCCACAGGGTGGGGTTGGTGGGACACTCCAGAAGGGTGGATGGGTGACCTCAGGCCCCTGGGAGGCCACAGATAGATCAGCTTGGGTGCAGCATGGTCACGTCTAGGTTAGCCCTTAGAGTGCCCAGGGCCCCAGGAAGGCTGGGCCCAGAGAAGGAGGCCACCTTCAAGTGAGATGTGAAGCCAGGAAGCCTTCTCCCCACCCACTCTCTAAGAACTCCACTGCCAACCCGAAATCAAACTCGCGCAGCGGGGGCCCATCCACTGCGATCTTCACCACGTGGCCGCCCCGGCCTTCCCTAGCCCTGCTCTGCCCCCACCACCGCAGCTCCCGGCTGCGGCCGACCTTATCCAGCAGGCCAGCGCCCGCGGGCAGCGCCAAGGCCAAGGCTGCTAAGGCAGCGAAGTCAGGGAAGAGCTCGTGCAGCTCCGAGTGCGCGCACGCCAGCTGGGTGCACAGGGCCCGAGGGCCAAGCCGCCCAAGGCTGAACACCACGCGCTTGAACAGCGCGAAGTCTCCCAGGGCCCGCTGGCGCACCACCGCAGGCGCAAAGCCGCGCAGCAGCAACCGCAGCGCCCCCTCGCCATGCGCGCCCAGCTCCTCCGGTGCCTGTGGGTAGCGGCGAGGGTCAAAGATCGCCGCGAAGGCGGCCACAGCGTCCAGCGAAGGTCCGGGGTAGGAGTCCTGTAGGCCCTTCCGCATGGAGTCCAGGAAGGACCCCCGGAGCTGCTCCAAGCCCCGGACAGCGGCCTCGGAGTAACCCAGCAGCTCCACGCCGCGGTAGGTGTAGCGCCCGCTGCTGGTGTCCGGATCAGAGGATGCCAGCTCCTGCAGGAAGCTCTGGAGGCGGGCCCCACCTGAGCCGCGCTGAGCTTGGAGGGAGGCCGCAGCTGCCATCACCGAGGGCTGCAGCAAGGCCAAGTCCGGTTCTTCTGCCTGTATGACAAGGGAGAGCTTCTGCACAGAGGGCAGGGCATCCAGCAGCAGGTATGTGAAGGCCACAAAGGTGAACTGTCGCAGGGCCAGGGCCAGTGATCCCGCCACAGGGGAGGCCAGGGCTGCAGCCTCCAGGGTGGGCACCAGGCCAGGCCAGGCCTCTGCCACTGCTTCCACCACAGGCAGCAGGGAGGCCCAAGGCACTGGCCGAGGCCCTGCCAAGTCAATAGCTGCAAGGTCCAGTGCTGCCCGGAGCTCAGGGACCAAGTGGGAACTAGGGCCACCATGGAGGCGGAATAGGGCATCCAATATGCTCTCATATTGACCCAAGTAGGCAGGAGGCTCAGGATCTGTCCGGCCAGGGAGGCAGTGCAGCTCTGCCATCAGTGGGCAAGTGGCCCGGAGCTGTGGGCCCACACTCCCCAGGCGGCCACTGGGGAGGCTTGAACTGAGCCAGGCCAGCTTGGATGCAGATACGCCGAAAGCCTGCAGGATGTCCAAGAGCTGGCCAGCAGTGGCCTCGCCTTCCTGTAGCTCCATACTGCCCAGGAAGGTAGTGGCGGGCTGGCCATCACAGGGGGACACCGAAGTGGCAAACAGGGCCAGGCTGTGTGACTCCGGCCAGTCCCTGGTCTCGTCCAACACCAGCCCCACATATGGGGATGCCTTCAGGCGCTGGCAGGCCTCTGTGTGCAAGACACTGGCAATGGCCACCTGGGACAGCCAGGAAGAGAAAGGGAAGGAGGACAGAATTAGGCTTGTCCTGAGAGGCGGAGACAGGCAGTGCGGCCTTGAGGTCAGACAGACTTAGGGACTAATCCTGGCTTTGTCACTTACTGGCTGTGCTACCTCTGGCCAGTCACTTCACCTCTCTGAGCCTCAGTTTTCTCATCTCTACAACTCCTGGTCTCTCTAAGAGCAATCCTCCCACCCTGGCCTCCCATCACACCCTGTCTAGTCTTCTCAGCTCTTTTTTTTGAGAGAGTCTCGCATTGTTGCCCAGGCTGCAGTGCAGTGGCACGATCTTGGCTCACTGCAACCCCCGCCTCCCGGGTTCAAGTGATTCTCTGGCCTCAGCCTCCTGAGTAGCTGGGATTACAGGCATGTGCCATCAAGCCCAGCTAATTTTTGTATTTTCAGTAGAGACAGGGTTTAACCATGTTGGTCAGGATGGTCTTGATCTCCTGACCTGGCAATCTGCCCACCTCGGCCTCCCAAAGTGCTGGGACTATAGGTATGAGCCACTTCGCCCAGCCCTTCTCAGCTCTTATACCTGCTGTCAGCTAATACTAGCCCACATCTTCTCAAAGCATTGTTGTGAATTATCAATGTCAACTTTTGTTGCTGTAAAAGTGCTTTATGAACCATAAAGAGCTCTAGGAAAGCTAGTTTTTTCACTACTTTTCTATACATCACCCTAGTCTGCCTTATCCCTGGGGGGTCTCCCTCCCCTGTCCAGCTCAGGGATTAACTGATAGGCACACTAACTCCCAGTTCCCAACCAGTTACCCTGGGTCCCAGCTGTGTGCTGTTTCTCTATTTGTCGTCTCTGTAGGATAAGATCCAACTCCCCCACCTCCAACCCAGCCCATAGGACTCACACAGTTAGCACCTAGGACAGAGCTACAATCTGCATGCCTCCAGGGGCCACGTGAGTGACACTGAGCTTGGAGAGGGCCAGGGATAAGCCAAAGGGCATGGGGAATTCCAGCACATCCCGCTCTGACAGCATGGAGACTTTGCTTTTCAATAAAGTCACAAATCTAGATTTTTATAGGTAATCTCCTGAGTTTTTTTAAAGTTGAAAACAAATTTGAGCTTTTCAAAAACACTATGAAAACTAATTAAACAGGCTGGGCACAGAAAATAGCCCCAAAAGAAAACTAGGTCACAAGTCATTTCCATTTCCATTCCAGCACTTTTGGGGGGTCCAAGGCAGGAGGATTGCTTGAGGCCAGGAGTTCAACACCAGCCTGGGCAACGTAGTTAGACACCCATCTCTATGTAAAAAAAAAAAAAAAAAAAAAAAAGGGCTGGGCACAGTATCTCACGCCTATAATCCCAGCACTTTGGGAGGCTGAGGCGGGTGGATCACCTGAGGTCAAGAGTTCAAAACCAGCCTGGCCAATATGGTGAAACCCCATCTCTACTAAAAATACAAAAATTAGCCAGACATGGTGGCACACGCCTGTAATCCTAGCTACTAGGGAGGCTGAGGCAGGAGAATCACTTGAGCCAGGCAGGCAGAGGTTGCAGTGAGCTGAGATGGTTCTAGTGCACTCCGGCCTGGGCAACAGAATGAGACTCCTTCTAGGGAAAAAAATTAAATATATAAACAAATTAAATACATCTGTGTAATCAAGCCTCCCGGCCACCAGTTTGCAACGTCTCTTTCTGTGCCCACTAAGGTCAGGGCCCGGT